TGAACATAGATATGAATATGGATTTAACAACAAGAGCAGTACTGTAATATCTTCATGGAGCAGAAAGATCATTTGTTCAACAAAATGACACCAGATCCCTAGATCAGTCAGGATACAGATGCAGGATCTTAATTTGCTACAGCAGGAAAATAATTATTCAGCAAAAGTAAATTATTAATTATTATGTGGATTATATTTAATGGACATTTTTGTAGGGGTTAATCAAATGTTTCTTAGTGGAAATTACAAACTTCAGAAGCCTTTTTAAACCTCAAATACACCACAAGTTTAAAATATCCTGCATTTCAGGAGAGTTCTCCTGCAACAGGGTGATCAAATTAAGATCCTACATCTGTACGTGTCTATGAGTGTGTGTGAGTGTGTATGTGTGCATGTGTGTGTGTGTGTGTTTGGAGGCAGCTGCTGCGGTATGTGTGGTAGGCTACAGAGGTCATTAGAAGAACATGAAGGGCACCTTGTAGATGGAAGCAGCAACACCAAGGTCGATACTCCTACTGTGCAGCATATATATTACTGTCTCATTCATGTCTGGGCTGAGTGGCTTGGAGTAGGTCTCACGTCAATACAAAGAAGGACTAAACAGTCACTGGTGCTTATGCTGCTCCCTCAACCCTGTACTATATCAACCCCATCACCTATCGATCATTCTCTAGTCTTCACACATGGATTTCATTATTGTGGTTTATATTTGACCTTGCATCAGTGTGCATCGTGTATATTCAAATGGGGATAGTTGATGCTTGTCCAGTTAAAGGCTGTGTCAGTGTTTGCCCATAAGTATAGCATGTATATGTCGCTGCAGATTGCTAGGATACACAGTGGCTGTGTATGGCTCACCCATTATGCCCTAGTCAATCCATGCTTGGTGAATTACATGAGCTTTGTGTATGTGTTGTGTGCATGTTTTCTGTTGTTTTAGCGTACAAACAACGTGTGTGTGTGCATATGTGGGCATGCATGTGTATGTGTACCTGTGTGCTTTGTGTGCTCCTGTTTGCATGCATGTTTGTAAGTCTTTGCGTGCACGGTGTGTGCAGTGTGTGTGCAGTGTGTACAGTGTGTATGTGTAGCCTGTGTGCAGTGTCTGTGTGTGTGTGTGTGTGTGTGTGTGTGTGTGTGTGTGTGTGTTTGCAGCCTGTGTGCAGTGTGTGTGTGTGTGATGGTGTATGCGATGGATAAGCAGACAGCTAGCTAGCAGCACATGATGCTTTCCATTTCCAGGAGTGCTGGACGGGGACTCTCTCCTGCTCCATTGAGATGCTGTGTCCTAATCAGCCTCTCCCTGCCTGGCTGCACTCCAGTAAGAGCTCACACAGAGGCTGCTCTACCCCTCTCTCTCCCTCCATCTCCCCCTCTCTCTCCATCCATCCCACCCACCCTCTCTCTCCCTCCATCCCACCCTCTCTCTACCTCCATCTCCCCCTCTCTCTTCCTTCATCTCCCCCTCTCTCTTCCTCCATCTCCCCCTCTCTCTCCCTCCATCTCCCCCTCTCTCCCTCCATCTCCCCCCTCTCTCCCTCATCTCCCCCTCCCTCTCCCTCCATCTCCCCCTCTATCTCCCCCTCTCTCTCCCTCCATCTCTTCCTCTCTCCTCCCTCCATCTCCCCCTCTCTCTCCCTCTATCTCCCGCTCTCTCTCCCCTTCATCTCCCCCTCCCTCTTCCTCATCTCCCCCTCTCTCTCCCTCCACCCCCCCTCTCCCTTCTTCTCCCCCCTCTTTCCCCTCCTCTCCCCCCTCTCCCCCCTCCCCCACCCTCCCCCTCTCTCCCCCCCTTTCCCTCCCCTCTCTCTCCCTCCTCCCCCCCCTCTTCCCCCCCTCTTTCCCCCCTCCCCCCCCTCTCTCCCCCCCCTCTCCCCCTCTCCCCTCCCTCTTCCCCCCCTCCCCTTTTCCCCTTTTTCTCTCTCTCTTTCCCCTCCTCCTCTCCTCCCCCTCTCTCCCTCTTCTTTTCTTTTTCCCCTTTTCTCTCCCCTCTCCTTTTCTTTCTCCTTTCGTTTTCCCCCTCCCCCTTTCTCTCCTCTTTTTCTTCCCCCCTCTTTCTTTCCTTGTCTGTCCTTCTTTCCTCTCTCCTCCCCCTTTCACTCCTCTCCTCTCTCTCTCCCCCCTACCCCTTAATCCCCTCTTCTCTCTCTTTTTTCTCTCTCCTCCTCTCTCTCGTCTCCTCTTTCTCTTCTCTCTCCTCCTCCTCTCTCCCCCTCTCCTCTCTCTCTCTCCCCTCTCTTCATCTCTCTCTCTCTCCTCTCTCTGTCTCTCTCTCCTCTCTCTTCTCTCTCTCTCTCTCTCTCTCTCTCTCTCTCTCCCCCCTTTTCTTTAATCTACCTCTCATTATAAAATGGCACCTGAATCAGTGTCAGAGAAGGAAAGAAAAAGGATGAGTCCCTGAAATATCTCAACATCACATCACAGGAGAGAGAGTGTCACGATCGTCACAAAGAGTGGACCAAGGTGCAGCGTGATATGCGTACATCTCTTTATTAGTGTACTAGCAACACGATACAAACTACAAAACAACAAAACGAAACGTGAAGTCCTCGGTCATGAACACAAACCAACACGGAACAAGATCCCACAAAACACAAGTGCACAACAGGCTGCCTAAGTATGGGTCCCAATCAGAGACAACAAGCAACAGCTGATTCTCGTTGCCTCTGATTGAGAACCACCCCGGCCAACATAGAAACACATAACCTAGAACAGAACATAGAAAACGAAACATAGACACTACACAAAGAAACTAACACCCTGGCTCAACATACAAGAGTCCCAGAGCCAGGGCGTGACAGTACCCCCCCCCCAAAGGGGCGGTCGCAGTCCACATAAACCCAACAGGGAAGGGGCCGGGTGGGCATTCCGCCTCGGAGGCGGATCCGGCTCCGGGCGTGACCACCACCCTCTAACAACCCTCCCGTAGCGCCCCTGGTCAGGTCTGGCCCCGCTGGCTGGAGCTGGACTGGACATCGGTGGAGCGAATTGCTTAGGCTCCGGTGTGGAGCAGCTGACCGGTACCTGACCAGGCACCAGTGAAACAGGCACGGGCTGTGCCGGACTGACGACGCGCACCACAGGCTTGGTGCGGGGAGCAGGGACGGGCCGGACCGGGCTGGCGACGCGCACCACAGGCTTGGTGCGGGGAGCAGGAACAGGCCGGACCGGGTTGGCGACGCGCACCACAGGCTTGGTGCGGGGAGCAGGAACAGGCCGGGCCGGGCTGACGACACGCACCATTGGCTTGGTGCGGGGAGCAGGAATGGGCCGGACCGGGCTGACGAAGCGCACCACTGGCTTGGTGCGGGGAGCAGGAACAGGCCGGGCCGGGCTGGCGACGCGCACCATTGGTTTGGTGCGGGGAGCAGGAACGGGCCGGGCCGGGCTGGCGACGCGCACCACAGGCTTGGTGCGGGGAGCAGGAACAGGCCGGGCCGGGCTGGCGACGCGCACCACAGGCTTGGTGCGGGGAGCAGGAACAGGCCGGGCCGGGCTGGCGACGCGCACCATTGGCTTGGTGCGTGGGGCAGGACCAGGCCGGACCGGGCTGTGGAGACGGACTGGAGGTCTGGAGCGAAGAGCTGACACAACCCGTCCTGGCTGAATGCCTATTTTTACACACTCTGTGTGAGGCATCAGCACAGGACGTACAGGGCTGTGTACTCGCACTGGCACTACAGCACGTGACACTGGCGCAGGATATCCGGGACCGAGGAGGGGTACTGGAGGCCACGAGCGTTGAGCCGGCACACTCCGTCCTGGCTGCATGCCCACCTTAGCACGACACGTGCGTGGTGCTCGCACAGGACGTACCGGACTGTGCCGGACCACTCGCGGCACAGTACGCAGCTCCGCATACCTCGGAACCTGCCCAGTCTCACGCTGCCTAGCCTGAGTACGGGGAGTTGGCTCTGCTCTAACTCTAGGCTCCGCCAACCTCCCTTCCAGCCCCCCAAACCCGGTGGCCTCCTCTCCTAATCCCCAAACTCGCCCTGTAGCTGCCTCCAGCAGCCCCGTCGTCCATGCCGTGTGCCCCCCCCTAAAAATGTCTTGGGGTTGCCTCTTGCGTGTCCGACGTCGGCCCGGTTGGCGCCGCTGCTCCTCTCTATGGCGCGCCTCCACCTTCTCCTCCCACGGACGGCGATCCATACCGGCCTGGATTTCCTCCCAAGTCCAGGACCCCTGCCCGTCCAAGATCTCCTCCCAAGTCCAGGCTGTCTGCTCCTGGGCATGCTGCTTGGTCCTGTTTTGGTGTGATCTTCTGTCACGATCGTCACAAAGAGTGGACCAAGGCGCAGCGTGATATGCGTACATCTCTTTATTAGTGTACTAGCAACACGATACAAACTACAAAACAACAAAACGAAACGTGAAGTCCTCGGTCATGAACACAAACCAACACGGAACAAGATCCCACAAAACACAAGTGCACAACAGGCTGCCTAAGTATGGTCCCAATCAGAGACAACAAGCAACAGCTGATTCTCGTTGCCTCTGATTGAGAACCACCCCGGCCAACATAGAAACACATAACCTAGAACAGAACATAGAAAACGAAACATAGACACTACACAAAGAAACTAACACCCTGGCTCAACATACAAGAGTCCCAGAGCCAGGGCGTGACAGAGAGGCTGTCTTCACAGACACACTGTACCATTACAGACTGCGTCCTTCATTACAGGAGACATGCTCACGATCGACACATTTACCTTCATCATCATCATCCTCATCATCATCATCACAACTTTCAACATTGAGGCAGGGATGACGAAAGGCTGTAACCATGATGAACCTGAACCAACTTAAGGTGTTGCACCCTTAGATAAAGTTTCAGTATGTATCTATATGGTTACACCCGTAGGTGAATGTGAGGTGTTCAAAGGAGAACCTTTTTGATATGCTCATAACCTGAGATTGCACTCATCATCTGACCTCCCTCTAATTCCCATGGAGACAGACTGTTCTAAATGGAGGATTACACTGTGAGCCTTCTTTCACACCTTGAAGGTGCCTGCATTCAGATCCCAAGAGAATACATAAGTAAGTGGATGTTGAGCACAGCCAGGTTAAGGGTTGAGGTGAGAGAGGCAGAGAGAAAGAGAGAGGGGGAGAGGTAGAGACAGAGAGAGAGCGAGAGCGAGAGCGTCAGAGAGAGACAGAGACAGAGAGATAGTGGGGTCTTACGTTGGCTTGGAGGCCTCGGCCTGGTCTGTCTGCAGTTTCTCCCCTCCCTCCACCTCCATGGTGCAGTATACGATCCTGTTAGGAGCCAGAGACTTCAGGCCCACCACCTCCATGATCACCACCTGGAGGGCACACACACAGCATGTTGTGAAACCACAGGTGTATTCGGTAAGGTTCACAATGTAGCAGAAATGTATTCAATATAGAGCTGACATAACTCTCTATGCTACAGTCGTGGTCAAAAGTTTTGAGAATGACACAAGTATTGGTCTTCACAAAGTTCGCTGCTTCAGTCTTATGAGATATTTTTGTCAGATGTTACTATGGTATACTGAAGTATAATTACAAGCATTCCATAAGTGTCAAAGGCTTTTATTGACAATTACATTATGTTTATGCAAAGAGTAAATATTTGCAGTGTTGATCCTTCTTTTTCAAGACTGCAATCCGCCCTGGCATGCTGTCAATTAACTTCTGGGCCACATCCTGACTGATGGCAGCACATTCTTGCATAATCAATGCTTGGAGTTTGTCAGAATTTGTGGGTTTTTGTTTGTCAACCCGCCTCTTGAGGATCGACCACAAGTTCTCAATGGGATTGAGGTCTGGGGCGTTTCCTGGCCATGGACCCAACATTTCGATGTTTTGTTCCCCGAGCCACTTCGTTATCACTATGCCTTATGGCAAGGTGCTCCATCATGCTGGAAAAGGCATTGGTCGTCACCAAACTGTTCTTGGATGGTTGGGAGAAGTTGCTCTCGAAGGATGTGTTGGTACCATTCTTTATTCATGGCTGTGTTCTTAGGCAAAATTGTGAGTGAGCCCACTCCCTTGGCTGAGACGCAACCCCACACATGAATGGTCTCAGGATGCTTTATTGTTGGCATGACACAGGACTGATGGTAGCGCTCACCTTGTCTTCTCCGGACAAGGTGTTTTCCAGATGCTCCAAACAATCGGAAAGTGGATTCATCAGAGAAAATGACCCTGTACCTTTTGCAGAATATCAGTCTGTCCCTGATGTTTTTCCTGGAGAGAAGTGGCTTTTTTGCTGCCCTTCTTGACACCAGGCCATCCTCCAAAAGTCTTCGCCTCACTGTACGTGCAGATGCACTTACACCTGCCTGCTGCCATTCCTGAGCAAGCTCTGCACTGGTGGTGCCCTGATCCCGCAGCTGAATCAACTTTAGGAGACGGTCCAAGTGCTTGCTGGACTTTCTTGGGTGCCCTGACGCCTTCTTCACAACAATTGAACCTCTCTCCTTGAAGTTCTTGATGATCCGATAAATGGTTGATTTAGGTGCAATCTTACTAGCAGCAATATCCTTGCCTGTGAAGCCCTTTTTGTGCAAAGCAATGATGACGGCACGTGTTTCCTTGCAGGTAACCATGGTTAACAGAGGAAGAACAATGATTCCAAGCACCACCCTCCTTTTAAAGCTTCCAGTCTGTTATTCTAACTCAATCAGCATGACCGAGTGATCTCCAGCCTTGTCCTCATCAACACGCTCACCTGTGTTAACGAGAGAATCACTGACATGATGGCAGCTGGTAATTTTGTGGCAGGGCTGAAATGCAGTGGAAATGTTTTTGGGGGATTAAGTTCATTTTCATGGCAAAGAGGGACTTTGCAATTAATTGCAATTCATCTGATCACTCTTCATGACATTCTGGAGTATATGCAAATTGCCTTCATCAAAACTGAGGCAGCAGACTTTGTGAAAATTAGTATTTGTGTCATTCTCAAAACTTTTGACCACGACTGTACATGAAAGACAACCATACTGTATCTGGTCTAGACAATATATTTATATCTGAGCGTGCTGTTACATTGCACATTCCTGAACGGGCCCCAGCACTCACCCTGTAAAGCCATGAACCATGACCCGTAAATGTCTATGGTGCCCTTTACACAACTACAACAGTCACCTTGACCTTGTTGATCCAAGGCAGAAACCCACATAGGTAAATGCATACAGCATAACCTCATAAAAACCCATTAACAATCATTACTCTAAAACTCATTATCGCCCTAAGCTCTATTGGTCAAAAACATTTATAGTATATCTTAAACTACCCTACACCAATGGAGGCTGCTGAGGAGAGGACGGCTCATAATAATGGCTGGAACGGAGCGAACGGAATGGCATTAAACACTTTGAAACCATGAGTTTGATGTATTTGATACCATTCCACTGACTCCGCTCCAGCCATTACCACAAGCCCGTCCTTCCCAATTAAGGTGCACTACACACCGACTGAGAAAAATATGCTAACACTGAGGCCTACTCAAGCAAAGTAAAACGCATGATAATTAAAAAACCCATCACTAAATTCCATGACAGAAGCTACAAATCTGGCCAGCCTCTCCAATTTATAAAGCAGTAGTTTCAGTTCTAGCACCATAATCACTGCATCTTCTCTGCTCTACACCACAATCAACTGCTGGGAGGGCAACCTGGACTCAGGGGTAGACGTAACATAGTAAATGTAAATCCGAGTGTAATATTCATATGTGTCAGCATACTGAATTGTAATTGGATGCATTCTACTGTCATATCATACTGTGCTATGATTGGTTAAGACCACCCAGGTGGTGAGGTCATTCTAAAGATGATCCTGGCCAGAGACACATGAACATGCCAGTTATAGCTAGTTAATAAAGAGCTACGTTTATAAATATCCTGTCGTCCTGCATTTTATTATTTTGTACAAGGCATACAAAACACGACACCGAGATACTCCAATTATTATGATATGTTACGTTTCGTATGGTATGTATTAATTTGTGGATGTTTGCAATTGCAATTTGTTGTGGCTAACGTGAGCTAGGTGGCTAGGTGATGAGATTTGAACACGCAACCTTTGGGTTGTTAGACGTTCACATTATACAGCTACCCATCCACCCCGACCAACCACCCTACTTTCATTTTTGCCTTAAGCAACCTTCTGTCTTATGTAACATACCAAACGTAACATATCATACTAATTTGAGGGTCCAGGATTTACATTTACCATGTTACATCTAGTCTATGAGACCAGGCTGGGGAGGGAGTGGTGTTAAGCTGCCCATGCTAGAATTACACTTCCTTCTCCTTAAGTAGCTAGGGGAACAGAAATAGCTCTTCTGAGTATACTGTATTCTCTTAGATCGTTCATCATAACCGGAGTTACTATGATGAGTTATTATGAAGTTTGCTATGAAATAAAAAATGGAGGTATTATTTTGTTTCACTACATTCACTACATCTGTGATTTGACTCCTCCTGTGTTCATCTATTTTTTAAATTCTCTTTCTTTATGGCTGGAGGGCCATCTGTTTGCAATCTACACTGGGTATATATTCACAAGCGCCTCAGAGTATGAGCGCTGATCTAGGATCAGTTTTGCATTTTAAATCATAAGTAATAAGAGGGAGGACCTGATCCTAGATCATTCAGCACTCCAACTCGGAGACGCTATGTGAATACGGGCCCTGGTCTAGATTTATATACATCTATCAAGATAGAAGAAAACTAAAGCATAAGCAAACACACTCTGGGACTTTGGCATGGAATGTATTCATGTTCTAAAATAATCAATAGACCCATGAAAGTGCAGATCAGATCTAGTTTACCAAAGGGCCAGCTGAGGTAAAAATCGATATATTATCACCACCACCACCACAGACTTCAATATAAACAGTGTTTTCCTTGCCACAGAACACAGAGCCATAGTAAATAAATAGGCTGATCATGTTTTTGATTACTTATCCTGTTTATAACGACAGAGGCAGGTGAATGGTAACACTTTTTGGATATTCTGTCATAATGCTAAAATGCTGAGGTCGTATCCTTCCTAGACAGGATTAGGGCTAGGGTTAGTATCTCCAGAGTGAAGGAGAGCATTACATCAGACTTGTACTTGGTTAGGGTTAGGGTTATGGTCAGGGCTAAGGGTAGGGTTAGACAGGATTAGGGCTCCTACTTCCAGAGTGAAGGAGAGCACCACGTCGGACTTAGACAGTGTGTTCTCGTCTTCCTGGCCCATGTCCATGATGGAGGTGTTGTGTCCTTTCTTCAGCTTCTGCAGTTTGAACTCTCCTCCCTTGGACACCGGCATGCTCTCCAGGTTGGCCATCAGCTGGTTCACCGATGCCTTTAGCTCCTCTATGTACATGTGCTCCATCTCCTTCGACACAAACTTGGGGAATTTGCCACCCTTTGAAAAAGAAAAAAAAATCAGACCAACAATTATGTTGTACCAAAAGTGTTTTTACTATTTTTCAAGTCAGCTTTTGTGACCATGTTGACTGGTCATCCTGAAGAGGAAAGACACTTTGACTAATAAAATTAATCAAAATTGTCAACACTAATGTGAATGCTTGTCATTCAATAGATTACCAGATACTGTATGTAGCCTACAGTACATTCACTGTGCTGTAAAGCTGATTTCTAGAAGAGTAAAGCTCTTGGGGAACTCGCATAGTGAAGCCATTTTGATGCTTAGGCTACAAACTGAGGTTTTTATGTGGCTCAACACAATTTTACCAATTTTTATGTTGTTCTACTGCCTTGTGTATACAGCTGTAGGATCTTAATTTGATCACCCTGTTGCAGGACATTTTTTACCTGTAGTGTATTAAAAAGGCTTCTGAAGTTTGTAATTTCCACTTAGAAATTTCAAACTTGATTTTCCCTTAAGAAAAATGTTATCAACCCCTACAATAATGTCCACTCATTATAATCCACATAATAATTCACAGTTCCTGTTGCTGCAGGATTATTTTCCTGCTGTAGCAAACTGGCTCAAATTAAGATCCTACATCTGTAGGCTATCAGACTCACCCTGGCAATCTGATCGGCCATCTGCAGGCGTCCATCCAGCTCCCGTCTGATCTGAGCAGCCTGCTCGTCCAGGTTGTCCAGCTAGAGGAGGGTCAAACACAGAAGAAACAGGAAAAAGTGTTGTGCGCACATACTTAAAAATAAACATGTCTCAGGAACTGGATTAGAGAGCATAATTATGTTCTCAAGTGTTGGTTTAATCAGGCAACGTTTTGACCCCAACTGTGCCTTCTTCAGTACAACAGGAAAACGGGCCAACGAGATAGATTAATCAGCCTGTGATGGTCTCACTGGTACCCAGGTGTAGTCATGGATATCTATGACCTTGGAGCTATGTAAGCCTATAGGCATCACATCACCCATCACCACATGGTAATAGTTAATACAATCTCCATTATGATTGTACATGGAATAAGACCAGAATCTGTATTCATAAAGTGTCTCAGGGTAGAGGTACTGATTTAGGAGCAAGTCCTCCCTGTCCATGTATCTGTACTCAAGATCTAAAAGACAAAACTGATGCTACAGTAGATCAGCACTCTTTGTGAATACTGGCTATGTCCCAATTATCTCTCCTTACTCCCATAGTGTGCACTTTTTACCTTCCCTTCACTGTTTTGAAAGGAAATGACTGTTATAAGAAATATGGTGAAAACTCCCATAAACCCATGCCTCCACTAATTCAATTATTTTAGATTTTTGTGGGAAGTATTAAACGAGGGCAGGAGAAAGGGGTGATCATTGGGACACACCCCATGGGCCCAGGAGGACATCACCACTGAGCTGGGTAATCAATACATTCTCCATTATGTTCCTAGATTACCCCCAACAGGATTGGGTCACAGGGTTAAAGGTCAACACCAACCTCCCATGTTGATGATTTATCTCTTTTGATCTCAGGATGGGTGATTGGATTCACACTGAGTCAATAAATACTGTGTTGTTGACGACTGACAAAAACAAGGATATACAGTGAGGGAAAAAAGTATTTGATCCCCTGCTGATTTTTAACGTTTGCCCACTGACAAAGAAATTATCCGTCTATAATTTTAATGGTAGGTTTATTCGAACAGTGAGAGACAGAATAACAACAAAAAAATCCAGAAAAACGCATGTCAAAAATGTTATAAATTGATTTGCATTTTAATGAGGGAAATAAGTATTTGACCCCCTCTCAATCAGAAAGATTTCGGGTTCCCAGGTGTTTTTTATACAGGTAACGAGCTGAGATTAGGAGCACACTCTTAAAGGGAGTGCTCCTAATCTCAGCTTGTTACCTGTATAAAAAACACCTGTCCACAGAAGCAATCAATCAATCAGATTCCAAACTCTCCACCATGGCCAAGACCAAAGAGCTCTCTAAGGATGTCAGGGACAAGATTGTAGACCTACACAAGGCTGGAATGGGCTACAAGACCATCGCCAAACAGCTTGGTGAGAAGGTGACAACAGTTGGTGCGATTATTCGCAAATGGAAGAAACACAAAATAACTGTCAATCTCCCTCGGTCTGGGGCTCCATGCAAGATCTCACCTCGTGGAGTTGCAACGATCATGAGAACGGTGAGGAATCATCCCAGAACTACACAGGAGGATCTTGTCAATGATCTCAAGGCAGCTGGGACCATAGTCACCAAGAAAACAATTGGTAGCACACTACGCCGTGAAGGACTGAAATCCTGCAGCGCCCGCAAGGTCCCCCTGCTCAAGAAAGCACATATACAGGTCCGTCTGAAGTTTGCCAATGAACATCTGAATGATTCAGAGGAGAACTGGGTGAAAGTGTTGTGGTCAGATGAGACCAAAATCTAGCTCTTTGGCATCAACTCAACTCGCCGTGTTTGGAGGAGGAGGAATGCTGCCTATGACCCCAAGAACACCATCCCCACCGTCAAATATGGAGGTGGAAACATTATGCTTTGGGACAGGACAACTTCACCGCATCAAAGGGACGATGGACGGGGCCATGTACCATCAAATCTTGGGTGAGAACCTCCTTCCCTCAGCCAGGGCATTGAAAATGGGTCGTGGATGGGTATTCCAGCATGACAATGACCCAAAACACACGGCCAAGGCAACAAAGGAGTGGCTCAAGAAGAAGCACATTAAGGTCCTGGAGTGGCCTAGCCAGTCTCCAGACCTTAATCCCATAGGAAATCTGTGGAGGGAGCTGAAGGTTTGAGTTGCCAAACGTCAGCCTCGAAACCTTAATGACTTGGAGAAGATCTGCAAAGAGGAGTGGAACAAAATCCCTACTGAGATGTGTGCAAACCTGGTGGCCAACTACAACAAACGTCTGACCTCTGTGATTGCCAACAAGGGTTTTGCCACCAAGTACTAAGTCATGTTTTGCAGAGGGGTCAAATACTTATTTCCCTCATTAAAATGCAAATCAATTCATAACATTTTTGACATGCGTTTTTCTGGATTTTTGTTGTTGTTATTCTGTCTCTCACTGTTCAAATAAACCTTCCATTAAAATTATAGACTGATCATGTCTTTGTCAGTGGGCAAACAAACAAAATCAGCAGGGGATCAAATACTTTTTTCCCTCACTGTAAGGCTGACTTTACTTGAAGGGCCAGTTTCCCAGACAGATTAACCCTAGTCATGGACGAAAAATCTCTTTCAATGGAGAATCTGGAAAACCGGCCATAGGTTTCTATGTAGGCAGAGAGAGCATAGCTCTAATAATTGATACTATATCTCCCTGATCAGTCGTTGGATCCATTTGTAAATAAGTACTAAGACTGCATGTAGGCCTACCGTACACCAGGGTTGGGGTGATTTCCATTTCAATTGAGTCTAAATTTAAATTGACTTCCTGAATTGACTGAATAGAAATGGAATTGACCTCTGTGTTGACTTGACTGATAAAAAGAAGTACCCAATAAGTTTTTTTTGTTCTATTTTCCTTTGTAGGTAGAGAGAGTCATTCATAAATATGAATAGCCCTAGAGCACATGTGGCTAAACAGTGTGTGTGTATGTGTATGTGCATGTGTGCGTGTGCGTGTGCGTGTGTGCACATATGGTACTTCTGCAAGTAACTCTTTAAATCACTATAATGGAGGTCCACACTCCCTGAAAATAAGGAAAAACATCAACCTAATATCTGGTTGATGTTTTTGATATTCTTTCCAGAGTGTGTGAGGCTCCATTTCTTTGATTTGTAGGTGGAGAGAATAAAACAGACTTAAAGTAAAGTGTGTAATGTCCTAGACACAATAGATAGGCCGTCATTGTAAATAAGAATGTGTTCTTAACTGACTGACTTGCCTAGTTAAATAAAGGTTAAATAAAATAAAATAATACATAAATAGCTACATGCATTGGCCTGATTTATAGGCCTGCACTGACTTCCCCTATGGATGACATCATCCTATAGAATATATATACCTCTTTGAAGGACATCTAGAAGCTCTAAGGAGTTATGGTATAGAGTTATAGTCTATGGCATAGTCTGTAAAAAGAAATGCCTCCCTAAATGAGCATCTTTCTTGAGGCCCAGCCATACTGGCCTTTAGTTTGAGGTCCCCTGTAGATTAATGTATTGTGGCGCTATAAGCAAGTACCAATGCCTCCCCATTCCCAAGAAGAGTATCTCTCTCTCGCTCTCCCTCTCTCTCTCTCTCTCTTTCTCTCTCTCTTCTCTCGCTCTCTCTCTTTCTCCCTCTACCCTATATACTGGCCTGTCCCTCTTCTAGGATCCTGTCATAGCTCTGTGTGTGCTGTAGCATTGTGACATGTCTACCTTCCAGCCCGCCCACACAGAGTCCGCAGCAACGTGATGTCTTAGCCAGGTTGGCCCTGTAGAGCAGTCACTTCCAGTCCTGTCACACATGCAGTGTGCCTTCACCCGCTCACTCACACATAGTCATGCACACACACACACATACACACACACACACACACACACACATACACACACACATACACACACATACACACACACAGCCTTCAAGGGCTCCACAGTACTGCCACAAAGCTGAACCGGACCACCACCCTGCAGCGCTGATGCACATCCACACGGAGCAGCTATCACGCTCCAGAGAACAAGTTTCTAGTGATGTACAGGGAGGGCTGCTAGCTACTACACACTGCTGCCTGCACTCTACTTACAGAGAACATGTGCAGAGGGCATAGAGGAGGACCTTCCTCTTTATGTGAAGACAAGTAGGCTAAACCAGCCCTGTTGACAAAACAGGTGGCTTAATGGCAGTGTCATGTTACTATTACCATGGTGGGTTGTCATAGTGTGTGATGCTGCTGAGCGGTTGTGTTGTGCCAAACCCCAGCTCTGTAATGTTACCGCTATAGAGTGAAGGGAGGAAAATGTTTGC